ATGGTCTGAGATTAGATGCGGCTTGTCCAGACATTCGAAAACAATGCCCACATCACTTCTCCCTACAGTTTGTCCTCTCCCTCAAAAGCCTAGAGAAAAGCTATTTTTTCCCTTCTGCTCCCCGCTGGCTTTCCGGCTCTGTTGTCTCCCTCCCCTGAAACAACTTCACACTGGCTTCCTTGTGGCCTCCCTTCTCCCAAACAACTTCCCGTCTGCTTCCCTGCTCCCTCCCCATCTCTGCTGCTGTCTGCCTGCCCAGGAGCAACTCCCAGCCAGTTTCCTTTGCTGGATCTCTGCACAGCAGAGACACCCAGGTGACCACACAGCTGGGATGGGATTAAAGAAAGACGATAAAATTGTGTTTGCCTGATTAGCCTGACTAAAAAGTCTGTAGTCCTGGCACACAGAAATTCACTGGTTCCTGCAACGCCTTTAGCACCAGTATGGTCCAAATAAACACTTAGAATTATTGGCACCGCATGCTAATGCCTATACAAGCGTCCTAAAGTGGATTCTCTTCCTCATATTCAGACAAAAAGAGACTATCCGAGGCAGCCTTAGCAACCGTCACGATGTTAGCTGTTAACCAAGACAGTCATTCTTATAACAAAATACAGTTATTTCTCTTTTGCCCAAAAAGTATTAGGCTAATTTACTAGCTATACTAGAGAATAACAGGGGACAAGTATTGCTATCAATTTTTCTGACTATACTAAAGGACATAAGATCCCAAATCCAAAAGTTCCACTGCTGATAAGCATCAGTCAGCCTATTTTCAGCAGCAACTTTATGGGATCAAAAACTTCACTGGAAATGAACAAAGATCAGTTCTAAATTTATCCCAAACGTTTGCATGCGATGATGGCAAAAAATGTATCATGCCAACAGAATTAGGAGACATCTTGAAAAATATTTAAGATTATCATAATTAAATGATATTTCTACTTAGGATTCCAATTATATTGTGTACTGTTCTGTGCACAACATGGAAACAGTATTATAAAGCTATTGTTTCAGTTTGCTTCCTGTGATACTAATCTCAATCAGGCCGTCAGACGAACAGCCTGCATTTCTAAATGTTAAAGGCTTCCTCTCCAACATTCCCACACAGAATTGCCTACTGTGAAAATCAAAGGGAAACGTGTTACTAAGTAAAGCAGCAACTTTTATAAAGCAAAACCTGGTATTTTTTACCCTTTTGAACTCTGAGATATACAACCAGCTATTTCCTATTATGATAGGATACAAGGGCCAAGCTCAGGCCCTGCAGAAGACGTGCGCCCTGCAATCCAGAAGCCGGGATTTTCAGAGGCACGTAGCGGGAGAGCTCTCAATGAGGGCTCAGACTTGTGGGCTCTTCCATTCACCTGCTGGAAGAATGTGGCCATAGATTTCCCTAGGTCTTGGCTTCCCGACAGATAAATAATCATTATGCAGACACAGCTAGCAAAACAGCCCGAGTTGCACAAGTGAAAAGCCCTATTCCGAGTCAGGGAATAATAGGAAGGGGCATGAGACACTCACTGCCAGCGGAGCGAGGCTGGCAAGCTGCCTACAGCCATCTCCAAAATCCCATCCGGAGCATCAGCTTGCGGAAAGATGAGGATGCAGTCCTGGGAAGGCTCCTGCTCTCTACTCCCAGCAGAACTGCCGTGAAACGAAGAGATGTGTTCACATTTGAGAATCATGCCCATAAAAATAGTAGTATAAAATAAAGTCTGGTCCACCAGTAGTTTTTGATAGAATAAATAGAAGTATCAAAAATGCTCCTAAAGCAGTACTTTTTTCTTTATGACCTTTTGAAGCATTATTCAAGCTGCACAGTAAGCTTATTTCAGTGACACTGTGTATATATATAAGTGCAGTAAATGTTATTTTAATGTCCTAATTAATGACAGAACAAATACTCCCATTTAACTCCAGTTTATACTAAGCATCTAGCCCAAATAATCAAAACTATTTCCATGAAGACAACATAAGGCCAAGGGGGGCTCTGTGGACTGGGGCAGCCATTTGCTGCTCACTCATGTGGCAGTTCTCAACCTCCCCATTTCCTAGTTCACTCATCAGAGATGGCACAGTCAGCCCATGCTCTCCGTCAGCTGAATCAGGCTCCTCAAACGCAACGCAGAATTAGGGGCCAAATTCTAGCCTGCTAAACAGGCGTGTGAAATGGGGCAGCTTGGCTTGTGGCTCAGGAGTTCAGAGCAAAAGGGAGAACTGAACGTGGACCGGCATCACACGAGCCCAGTGTCCATCTGCTCCACACTCTTGTCGAAACGTGATGGGCAGCAAACTTCTTCATCTGAGAGCCAAAAGCTGTACTGAAAACCTATTGCTCTGAATAAAATCGGACGGCCTTCTGGTGACAGAAAGTGTCCTTGCAAAGACTGACATTATTCAGAAGCCCACCATCAAAGACTTAAAACCTGCTTCTACAGGAACAAATCAGAAAAATAGCACCCATCAAATATTAGCTGTACTAAGTAGCTATTGTACAGCAATGATGTTATTCAGTCCTGCAAGGCAGTATTTTTTCAGCTAAGCTCACCTGCCAGAAATGCCCATATGCAATTTTACAGCCTTGTCTCCTGAGAGCAAGAAACAGTTCTCAACCTGATAAGAGATTGACTGTGGCCAGAGCAGTACTCTACACCTGTAAACCCCAGGAGTCTCAGCAAGTGTAAACTGTTGGGTAACTGCATGAGGAAGAAACAACACTCCGAAGTCATTGTTCTGATCACGATAATGAAAGTTCTCTCTGATGCCACTTTATTCCAATGCCTGATAAATTTTGTCTTTCAAATATTCAGGGCTTACATTTTCAGCCTTCTTGTTTAGCTTGGCTAATTTAAATGCTAGCTATACTCACAAGAATACAAGTAGCAGATGAGGCCTTTACAAGCAAACAGTGTCTTTCTGGGTTGAGTTCTTTCATTTCAGTGTATTCTCATTGTCAGAAAATAATACCCAGCTCTTCCAGAATATCAGTCCCTTTCAAGTACCGTAAGTTCAATTCCTCAGAATAGAAGCACTAAAGATTTTAACACCCTTACCTACATCTCCAGTGTCTGAAGATGCAGTGATGGACAAATCTGCATTTGACTAACACCACAAATTTTAATGAGAGGACTTACTCCAAGTCAATATTTCAACTTGCACCAGATTTAAGGCTAAGCAAATAACTAACACAGAGGAAGTCTGAAATATTAAATCACAGCCCGTCACTAGCGTAACATTTCATTTCCAGATTCCTTTCTAATGGCCGGGTCCTGGTGGTACTTCAAGAAAATGTAAATCAGCTACACAAATTACAGTTGTTTTTCAACATTGTCACAGAAAAATCATATACGTATGTGTATGTATATTATATATGTATATTGAGTTGTCATCACTATCAAATTATATGAGCCTAAGCCTTAACATTACAGAAGCACTAAATAAAAGTTTTATTTGTAGATATTTTCCTCACCAAGAAAAGTACATGTATTTGAAAATTTCACTTTAAACTTAGCAGTTTCCAGGTAAGCAAATGCATTTTTCCAGTGATGACAGCAAACTATTTAATGTCAAGTTTCACAGACAAACTCATTATTTGTATTATCTGTTACAGCCCTTCAGAAGTTTGCTTTCCCTATGCTGTGCCAGTCTCTAGTTCACCTCGCATAAATACTTGAAAAGCCAAAGCTGTGTTTTTATGAGAAAGTTACTAACAAATTGTCTTGGTGTATAGCATGTTTAAGAACATTTACTTACTTATGCAGCTTCTTCAAGCATTAATTACATGATGAAATCAGAGATTATTTGCAAACACTGTTCAGCAAATAAACTTTTCTTTTCACAGAAGTAAATGTTAAAACCACATTCCATAAGCGAAGATGAAAATAACCACGTTTTATACAACAGTCTTAGCAGAATCTAATAAAGCTACAAAAAATACAAAGCACACAGAAGCAGAATTGAATTTGTCATACTTTTCAGACTAACCAACAACAAACCAACAGCATACTCTTCCACAAAATGAGATACTTCCTAATAACATTTATTAAAGTTATTGTTATGGTATGACTCAACTTTTCTAAAGAGAGGAAGTGCAATCGTGACCTTATTGAGAGCTTTGCCATTAATGAATGAAAAGCCAAAATTTTGGGTTTACCTTCCACAAACAACGCAGGCATTGTTTTGTTAGCGTATTCTGGACATTTACAAGTCACCGTGTGAAAGTTCCTCCAGAAACGTCAGTTGTTTTCCTTGATCTCACAGGCTACTCAAACCACAGATTTCCATCCAAGTGATTATTCAAATATAGGTACCAAATAAGAACATTGTTCATTTTATCGGTTTTCACAGGCTATGAAAATGATGCTGGTGTACTTTTCCTACTAATCCAACAGCAGCAAGATTCCGCTCACATAGAATCCGCTCATGCCAAGCGTTCAGAAGTTGATTGCTTTAGCTATCTTGGTCTACCTTGCCATAAACAATCTACCTACTACTCATTACCGGCATATAGAACAATCAGTCCTTTCAAACGAAGCACTGGACCTGCAGAACTCCCCAGCTGCCTTTTGAATTCACTGGCACAAGCATGCTTGCCATGTGCAAGCAAAATTTACTTGTTTCAGCATGGAAGCTAAAGATGTATATTTGAATTCTGATTAAACTCATAAAAGTTGAAGATCTTGTAACTGAGCTTAATAAACCACATTCAAGAAGTTTGAGAGTTGGTTTTTTAAGAGAGGCAAAACTACAGCAGTTGTTATTTTGGTAATGCAGTCCTTAAATGACTAATATGACTCAGATTTTTCTATCCCAATTAAAGTATACAGAATTCTGATTAAAAAAACCCGACAACCTACCTTTAAATCTAGTTGTATTCTCACAACACAAGCAGTTGTGTCCCGTTCTCACTTTAGTACCCAGGACTCCCAGAAGAACATGCACAATCTTACCAAGCTGCCGTCAACTAGCACTGACAACTTCTTTTAGCCAGACCTCACCTGAAGACAGAAGCTTGTGAGTGCGTAGGAAACTGATTGCCAGGCGCATTATGGATGCCTTGTCCAGGTGGGAACTGATGTTGGGGGGCAGGGGCAGTTCATGTGCCAGCTCATAGAAAACTTCGGTTTCTTTGCTTCTCCTGCACCTCGCTGCATCTCTTGATTTCTCCTTCCTCCGCTCTGAACTGCTCCTGGTAGGTAAAGGAGAGAAGAAAAAATATTTCTTGAAATGCAATTCACAACTTGAGAGAAGCATTTACAAGAGTAATTATTCTCAGCAATGAATCCATTCTGTGAACTGGTTTAAATCAATTGACCAGACATTAATATCTCTTTTCTCCTTTTAAAATGGGAATTAGGGGAGGACTGTCACAACTGCAAATGGCTCTGATGCTACAGAAGCCAGCCTTTGGACCCCCTGAATTCCTGTTGAGTGTAACAGGATCAAGATCTGCCTTACATGAGAGATTCAAAATGAAATAGAAAACCATTATTTCTGGGATTCAGGAAATGTTAAAAACAAAAATTTCATTTGTCCAATCTAAATTAATTTACTTGAAACGTACTCTGGGATGAGGTGACAATCCATTTTAAAGCTAGAACAATTACAGTGCATGTGGCTATGTCATAGATATGACTTGCAACGGCTGTTCCACACAATAAAATACAAGTAATAATAGGGTATCAAACTGTGTCTGTACACACAACTGTCTCAGCTCTTAACCCAACACTACTCTGGAAAACCACCTTGGCTTGACCACGAAGGATACAAAATGGGAAAGAAAACACTGTTGCATGAAAGAAACCCCTCCTACGTAGAAGCTATTCTAATTAAATCACCATTTCTCCATTGTCTATGAAAACAGATTCCTTCTTGAGTAAAACAACATGACCGATACAGCCAGCCTCCTTCAAACTCTTCAGAGAACAGGAGAGCAGGAAATAACACAGAAGCAGACATTTTAAGAAGAAAGTATGCAAAATTATGCCACCGAGGGACGTGAAGCTAAATTTAACATGCCAGAAACACAAGGGCTACACTTACAAAGGATCTCAGACAGGACAGTTTAAAAGGGAACTTGACTGACTCTAAGGTTCTTTTATTCTTGTTTCAGAACACGAAGAACCTGAATCCATTCAAAACCATCAGCTATTTCAACCCTATGTAGCTCTGCTGATACTACAAGTTTCCTTCACTTGCATGAGTTGAGGTTTTGCACCTTAGTCATGCCAGCACAGAGTATCTTTCCTTTCAGGCAGGCTCCTGAAATACTGTACCAGTAGAAACAGCACAGCTTGGATGAGCACAGAACAGGGTGTGGAGATGATCAGCCCCACTGTTTTTACTACTGTGGCTGCACATTCACTTCTAGAATCACCAGTGGCAGCTCTCCATTTGCAAGGCCACCTAAAAATGAAGCATCTTCTAACCTGCTTTTTCCAATGTCAGCATAAAATTATGAGCCTATAGAATAAAAATGGATCAACAACAACAAAGAACATCCTATCAAAACAGGACATTTCAACAAATATATTCTCTTGTGTGAAAATGATGAGGAAAACAAGTATTAATTGCATCACTGAATCCTAGAAACTGTTCCAATCATGGCTGGTCTCATATAAAACAGAAAAAGAACATTAATACATAGTAATGTATTCTAAAGACGACAATCGTTTCTAGAAGAGCTAGACTACCCACAAAAGCTTCTAGCATGGAAACCACAGGCGGTTTCATAAATTAGAAAGAAGCAAGAATAGCCAGGGTGCGTGTTAAATGCCAAGAGTAAAGTTACAGTAAGGTATTTGTTGGGGCCCAGGCCAGGCTGGGCATTCAACATCATCATCCAAAGCACAAATATGCTCACAACACACAACTAGGGCCTCGTGCTGCAAAACACGTGAAGCTGGGCATACGCTTAGGGATCAGATAGGAGCTCACCAGCGGGTGTGCTAACAGGGCAAGGGGCCTCATAAATGCTTACGGTATCTTCTCAAGATCCGTGATCAGCCCTCGGCAAACCTCTTTCACAATTATTTTGCCCGAGGTGAATATTTTCGAACATGGCATCTGTTACAGGAGGTATGCACAGGATGAGACCTACACACATTTCAGTACCTAACGGCAGGATCCAACTCTGATAAATGACCTCAGGAGCATCGCTGGAGCAAACACCAACCCGCACAAGTTTGACTGTAAAGGATCAGATATTCACAGGGTGACACTAACTGCGCGCTTTTATCCTTGCCAGGTAAGAGTCATACTACGTAGAGGTAAAAAAAAAAAAGTCCCTCCATACTGCTGTCCAAGAAGGTACAACAGAAAATGCCTCTTGTTGTCCTGGGGCAGGTGCTGGGAACGGGATAGCCACAGGAACTACTTACATCGATGCTTCTTTCGGAGGTACATATTGCTCTCTACCGAAAAAAAGTGTCTACACTGTGCCTGTAAAGATGCCAGACTGCAAACAAATCTCAGTTTCTAATTCTACCAACAAAATAAAGAGTAGAAACAAAACAAACTGAACAAAAACTACGTGGCAACATTTGTGAGAATTTCCCATTGCGGATTAGAAAATTTAACTTGAACCGTAAATGCCTGAGCTCTGCTCTAAATCTAGAGCCCACAATTTTCACATTAGAACCAACTTGGGCAAAACGAGATCCAATCCCTCCTCGTTTAAATACAAAACTGTGGGAACCCAGGCGAAAGCTGTGTCGCAACTCGCGCACTAAGAACGGGTTGTATAAGACAGGGTCTCTCATGACGCCACTCTGGCCACAAAGAAAAATATTTAGTTTTGCTAACCTCTGTAAATATAATTTTGAAGTGTGGCTAACGAGACAAGCTTGTTCCATTAACCATGGGTTGCTCAAGGTTTCTAATAACCATTGCTATGAGCAGAGAATGATTTTTTTTTTCCCCCCTCCGTGCTGCAGATGCTTTCCCTCAACACTGCTTCTAACTGTGGTGCTGGGTTTCTCCATCGTTGCTCAGGACAGGCTGCACAGGAGCTTTCTCACATCAGAAAACAAGGGGAGGAATCAGCCTGCCCGGTTGCTTTCAAAAGACTTTCTTGCTCACCCATTATCATTTTAAATAAACAAACAATTTGCTTGTTAAGCATTTCCCCTGCGCCTCGGTTCTCCTCCCCACCTTCCCCAGCCGGGCGCACCCTCCAGTCGCGTTGTTATTGCGGCCAGCCCAGCACAAGCATACCACGGCCCGAAACCTCGCCCCGTGCAGCCTCCCCCCGCCACAGGCAGACATCTACGCCTGCTGGCTGTCCATCCCTCCCACATCCACGCGTGCTGGCTGTCCATCCCTTCCAGGGACACCCATGTCAAAGACGGCCATTCTGGGCTTACTTGTCCTGGTCCCCGAAACCAGCAGCCGAGTGACAGAATTCTGCAAGAAGCAGTATTCTCATGGCTTTCATTTGCGGGTGTCAGGCCACTAACTCTATGCAGTTACCCCCATTTTATGCGTGGGATTCGCATTTTACCCTGGGCGAGGCAGGACTACCCGCAGCTAGAGGGTGAAAATATAACTGCTCAACAACCTGCCCGTCTGAGGGCCAGGAAGAAAGGCTGACACCAAATCCTCTTCACACATCATTAGGGCAATAGAGAAAAGGCCCAGGCTCCGGCTAATTTATGAATCATTCCCTCCCAGCACATAAACCACCCACTTCTGTGGCAAAAAAAGAGCACACGTGTGCGTCACTGCCTGCAGAAAGTGACGCAAGCAGAAGCAGAAGCCTCACTAACCCAAAACCCGTGTCAGATTTTTAAAAGTGCAGAGGGGAGAGAGAGAAGAAAGCCACCACAAACGAATCCACCACACGTGGGATGAAGCCCGGAGGTGCCGCAGCGGAAGCCTCCTGGGAGCTCCCCAGCTCTCGCTCCTCCAGGAGCCCCGGGATCCGGCAGGACGAGGTCCTGCTCGGCCACACACACACCCCCACATTGCCATCGCAGCACAACCATTCCCTATGAAACGACAAGGAAGGAATGGAGACACTCACATCTCCACTAGAAACGGGGCACAACTGAGCTGAGGAACAGGCCTGGGGACTCCACTTGGGACTCGGCTATATGGAGGGCAGTCGGGGGGCTTGAGGAGCAGGGACAGGCAGGAGCCTCTTCCCAGCAAGGACTCTCCCAGGGCTGCCGCACCGAGCCACAGCTCACACACGAGCCCTAGGGACTGGAAGAGTTAAGGCAGCGCAGGCAGTTCCTCGCCACCAAACACAAGCATGGCACTGTACCCCCAGGACTGCTGTTTACATGATTTCCCACTCCCTCTCGGTGTGTTTAGTTTGCGCTCTGAAAATAGAATTTATGGGCCGACGCATGTGAGCAAAGATGACAAACAACTGGCAAGTATTTGCCCGCTCAGGTGAAGCTCCCGAATTTTTAGGGGCAAAAGCTCTCCATGCTTCTCCCAAGAACCCAAACCACACACCAGTCCCACGGCTACACCCACGCACAGGAACAGAGCACACGATCCCACCCGCCGGAAGCATCCGAAGGGGTGTCAGAATGCCCTGCACGGATCCCAGGAGCCAGATTCCTATCCCCTGGCTCATCTCCAGCAGCCCCTGGGGACACAG